TTAATTGCAACAGCGTTCTTGTCCGCGTCGGATGCAGGTTTGATAATTGCTGTCGCATCGGCTTTGATTGCTATGCTAACTGTAAGTTTTAGTCTCAGCTATGAGAAGTGCCCAGAAAATATGTCATTGGCCGTTTCGCTTGCGGTATTTAAACAACCGCAAAAGTGTTCGGATCCTCACTGGCCAAGGCCGCTCATTTGTCCCCTTTTTGTCCAGATAAACAAAGCGAGATATCGGTATTATTATAACTCTTACCACAGTAAATTGAAGATCAATTCTTGGTATAATCGTTTGAGCTCTGGAATCGAAATAACAGTGCGCTCCACAGTATTTGCTGGCCCCGCTGACATTTCAGGGGTTAGGTCCATCGACCTAAGCACCGCAGCTTCTGGGGGTGGGCGCAGTCGCATCTCCCACCCTGATCATTTATCACCCGCGTTGGTTAGCGGAGGGTTGCTGGCGTCTGCTCATCTACCGTAATTGATGCTGACATTTGCATTGGTGATATTTGCTGCCCAACAAGTGTCTGAGTCTTTTTTCGGAGTAAGTAATTGCTGATGCTTGAGTTACCGTGATGAGGCTGCCCACTCGAAAAATTTACTCTCCTTAACTTGAACGTTCGTTTGACACAGCTACGTCGGCCCTGCACTTTGCTTCGAAATATTTTCTTTAAAACCTTTATGGGCAAATTTACTCGAATTTAATCCATCTTGGTTTGCACAGCTGGACTCAAACTTGCTATACTTAACACTCTTGTTTATAGCCCAACTCATGAAGAACACCGGCTGCCTCTTTGCCAACGACGTCAGTGCCGAGAGAGCAAAGGCTCTTCTGGGTAACTGTCACAGAATGGGCGTTGTAAACACCGTTGTTTGCGTCGAAGACGGCAGAAAGTTCCATCACATTATGGCTGGCTTCGATCGAGTCCTCCTGGATGCCCCTTGCTCCGGTACAGGCGTCATCGCCAAGGATCCTTCCGTCAAGGCACACAGGACTGATGAGGACATAAAGAAGTGTGTGTTGCTTCAGAAACAGCTCCTAATTGCGGCTATTGACGCCTGCAAAGTTGGTGGTTACATAGTCTACTCGACCTGTTCCATTATGGTACGTTTTACTTACATTCTAGTGCACTAGTTTTATACCCATTTGTATTTAATACGGCCTAAGCTAACCAGCCTCAAGTCTCTTAATGTGCCGAAACTTGCTGTAGCGAATGCAGTAAGCTTATACCCGGCAGTTCGATCCACTCTTCTCCAACGACCACGACAGAATCTTAGAGAATCGTTTGCATGAGGTATTTCATGAGGTTTTGGCTGACCTGTTCGTCGCCTCCAGTAGGACAATGATGTTAGGTTTTTGAGTTGCGATCACAAGGTTAAAAAGTTGAAAAATCAACAGTGCTGTCCGACGACTCGGTTACAGGACTGTTTTCTCAGATAAGACAGGCTACCTCGTAAATAACGGATGTCGAAGACGTCGATTCCTCTAAACACAACAGCTTGTCCGCCCTTTCATTAGGGGCTTACCGGCCGTAGCCGTATTATATAGTGAATATCGTCTGCATTCCAATAAGGTCTCACTCGCCTCCCCAACGGCATGAGATGCGTGGGACCTGGAGCAACTTTTGCACTATATCCACATTATTCTTCGTGGTACTATACAAATTACTGAATTCCACTGAAACTGACGCGCACGACAGGTGCATGTTTTGTCTGCCTACCAATCTGCTGTTAGAAAAGCCAGTAGACAGTCCCACATCGTCTCTTAAATTGCACCTTATTAGTGAAAGGTTTAGGGCATTCAATGATTCGAAAAAAAATCATGCTGTCTGAGTCCATGATTTCGAAATAAGAGCGGCATTTGCTCCATGATGACTAACCACTACGAACAGGGAAGTATAAAAATAGAGTCTTGTCGCCCCCCTCCGCCAGTATTTATAGCACAAGCAAACACCAGCACCACAGTAGTCACCATCCAAATAGCTCACATTACATAGACTGCTAGTCTGTACTTCGTCACTTAGCGCGCGTAGCGAAGAATTAACCGCACGAGGTTGCCACTGGTTCGCCAAGGTTATGTGTTGCGCAGCAATAATGCCTTTCTAATCGCTTCAGCTAGTAGAAGATAATCTCAGTGTCTCCTCCCTCCCGACGGATTGCTCTACCTTAAGTTCGGCAGTAAGGATTTTCTTATCATATTTTTGGCGTTTGTGCGAGGTCGGTCGTCACACTGATACCTAGTTGTCACGACCTGGTCTTTTTCATTGATGATGGGTATCGGCAGGAGTGAGATCGATGCTTCCTTTCGTAATCAAAACAACGCTGAGTCATTTATTTCACTCTGGAGTGTTGGTAGTCACACTCTACATTGACAGGTAAACCATGATATTTCCGACACTTGTCCGATGGCTCACCTGCCTGGATGACGGCTGAATCCGGTTAAGGAAATCTGTTAGCCAGATGATTTCATGCATATGACTGAGGAGAGCTAATAGGCCGTCCCAACCTGCCTCGTCTTTGCCGATACATTTTTCTGCATACTTTCTGGACAGCATTCGACTGTCCCCGAAGACTAGCTTGAGCGATGACGTGACCTTGGTTTCTATTATTTTCACCCGTTGGGAAGACGGCGTATCTAGGCAAAAAATTAATGATTCCACGAACTAAGTATAATTCGCCGATTCTATGCAGTCTTGTTTAATCATACTTACGGCTTCTATCTCTCTTAGGTTAGCGAAAACGAAGGCGTTGTTGACTACGCACTGCGGAAACGGAAAGTGCAAATGGAAGAAACCAACCTGTTTGGTGAAAAAGGATTCAAAAAGTGAGTTAGAATGTTACACTTTTATTGGTAATGTGGCATTCTTTAAAGGTTCAAAGGACTCCACTTCTCACCGAAGATGGATCTGGCTAGGCGGTTCTACCCGCACAAGCACAACGTCGACGGCTTCTTCGTCGCTAAATTGAAGAAGATTGAATGAATAGCTTCATTCGAAGCGGGGTCCCAGAAATGCATTAATGTACAGTTTACAAAAAAATAAATGACATCTGGCGGCCCTCAGAGATCCTTTTTCAGATTCTCACAGAATGCTTTGACTTCTTCCTCCGTGATTATCTGCGAAAAAAGGGTAGAGATGCAGAATATCAGGGCGGCGTCCTTGTGTTTCAAAGCAATACAAACATATATAGGAAAACAAGATATACTTACATGACCCTTCTCACGCTGTTGGGTAAGGAATTCTTCAATAGCAGATTTTAACTTGCTGATTCCTAAAAGACAATAAGGGGAGGTAAACGGAAGAAAACCGGCAGTCGCCTGCAGTGAACGAAGGGAGAAGAGCACGAACCGCCTTAAAACTTCAAGATGTCCAAATAGGTGATAACTCCAAAAGTTCGGGAATCGTTGTGCAAAGTAAAGTTTAAAGGGTTATACTACAGTCGCTGTTATGAAACGTACTAGCAGAGGCCGATTTAAAAGACTTCCTGGAAGTGCTTTTTAAAAGCGTGACCTGTTACGAATCCCCCAGGAGTGCGCCTCTGCGCTGGTTACGCGAATGTATTGGTGGATGCGCTGAGTTGGAAAGATGGCAAGCACTGGCTGGATACATTTAACAGTTATAGGGTAAGGGGGGGTTGGGTGAGACCCGAAGCGCAAGTGGAACAAAAGTCAAGGGTTTCGTAGTAAAACAGTGGGTAGGAGTACTTCGTGGGGCCGCCTAGGCGGCGCGCCACTCGGTCTTACGGGCTCCTGATTTTAGGGGAGGTCTGGTGGGGCACGTCAGGGAACAAATTAGATCGCAATTATCCTGTAAAATAAAAAAGTTACGATGGTAAGTTTGGGGCGCGTACTGAAACCTCGGGCGGGGACACTGAAGTACGCTTTAATATCATCGCTTACCCTCCGCCGGACCAACGGCGAGCGCGTATGTCGGGGGAGTGTGCCCTGTCCTCGGGTGATGTAATTGAGCTACATTTTTCAGTAGTACCACTAACCCCAACTAGAATAAAGGCGAACGAGTGAAAAAGGTTTACGATTGTGGGAATTCACCTTAAAACTTAAGCGGTTATTCCCGTGGTTA